TTTGTTTTTCAATATACGAGCAAAACTTTGTATCTATTTATTTTTGACTTATGTATGTGTAAAAAATTAAGAATTAAAAATTAAAAATTAGTTAATTGTTGCTTACAATTGTCTCCGAATAAATTGAGATAACCATGCCTCTAATTATTGTTGAACTTAATACTTGACTGATGTTGAGTCATTTGAAAAGTTGAATATATAGGTGTCAAGTCGCAAAACGTAAACATTTTAATAAGTCTAAAGATTTCCTATTTTTTCTAGAATGTCAAAATAAGCGTTATTGAGCAATTCAGTGTTTGTATTATTATTTATACCATACTTTTGTTCCTTTATGTGTATCATCTCCGAGATAAGTCTTTTATAAAGTTAGATTCAATATCAAGTATTTTGACGTTATCTCAATCAAAAGCATGTTTTTTATCAACAATATGTTCCGAGACCACCGAATACTTAGAAGAATCAAATTTAATGTTATTTATATGCTCCTTTAGTCTAGTACGTAATTTTCTTTTGGTTTGCCCAACGTATAAAGCTTCACAGTCTTTACAATTAATTTTGTAGACGACATTATTATTGCTATTATGCGCATTTTTGTCCTTATGGACTCTGATGAATTTGTTAAGATTATTAAGACAACGGTACCCTACTCTAAAATCTGATTTTTTAATTGTCGATACCGTTGTTTCCGAGATGTTATTAATATAGGGGATGACAAAAAATTTTTTATTATTTCCCTCTATAATTTCTTTTGTTCTATTGTTGTTAAACTGCAAATTGTTTACTACTTTTATTCTCCTATTAATTTCTTTAAAAATTAAATAAATAGGGTAACCGTTGTCCAACAATGTTTCAATACACAGTTCTAGATTTTTCTTGTGATATATGGGATGAGATAATAACAATGCTCTATCGATCAGATTATAAATCACTCCTATTTTGTGGCACATGGGGTGATTCGATAAGAAAGATAGTACTCTGCCTGAACAAGTCTTTTTTTGAAACCAGTCTAAGAGTATGACGTTGCCGATGATCTTAGTGTTTAAATCTAAAAAATTTATGCTTCTATTAATTTCGTATTCAATCGTAAATTGTAGTCGTTGATGGTAACTATTAAACTTATTTAATATACCATCTATCTTATTCTTTGGTGCCACCATAATAATGTCATTTACATATCTATAATACATTCCGATATTAAAATCGAATGTGTTAATAATCGATTCTTCCAGATCTTGCATAACCATATTAGCAATTATTGGCGATAACGGGAAACCCATAGGCGTGCCATAAACTTGTTTGTAAACAATGTCATTAAATGTAAAATATGTTGACGACAGTATAAATTTAACCATAGAAATAAATTCATTTTTTGGAATTAATGTATGTGTGTTAATATCATTCCATCTATTGTTCACACTTTCAATTGCAAGATCTATCGGAATGTTAGTGAAGAGTGAAACCACGTCTAACGATATTAGAATATCTTCTGTACTAACTTTTTTACCCGCTAGCTTGCTATATAATTCAAAACTGTTATTTACATTGCTTTTTACTGTAGGAATATCATTTGATATAATTTTATGTAAAAATGTGGCAATCGAGTATAGCGTGATATTAATTAATGACACAATAATTCTAAATGGAGTATTCTCCTTGTGTATTTTTGAGAGACCATAACATTTTGGAAGAAGGGAGTCGCTGGAACGTAGTGAAAAATATTCTTTATTGGAAATGTACCTTTTTTTTTGCCATTTTTTAAGAGTATCGTTTAGTTCCTTTTCTATTCTAGAGGATGGATTCTTTTTTATGATAGAATAGGTGCTATTGTCATCAAGTAAGCCCTCCATCTTATCCGTGTAATATTTTTTTGTCATCGCGACTGTTACATTACCCTTATCGGCCCTTGTAAAGAGAATATCAGGATTACTATGGCAAAATTTCTTTGTGTATTTATGCATACAAATCAATTCATCATGAATTGAATTAAATTTAGTTTTGCCATGTAAAAAGTTGGAAAGTTGTGGAACCAAATTGTTGCGCAATGTTTTTAAATTTTTGATGTTGTAACTGGTGGAATTTCCTTCCATATCCTTGATAAACTCGTGTATGGCCAACTTTTTATCATTATTAAACGGCAGGCCGAATTTACTCCCAAATTGTAATAAGTTAGTAACATTGGAAGGAATTATTGTGTCAGTCAAATTAATAAACCATTTTTTATTAGTACTAGTTAATGGATTAATATGTTTGTCCCTGAATTTATTTGGAGATATGACGATGTCTTTGTTATTTATATTATTGTTTACTGAAACTATTGATCGCGATGTGTCTATGTTGTTGATCGAGTAACTGAGTTTAATCGGTGTAATATTTTTAAAATATTCCTCTTGTTTCCTTTTAAGTAGAAAATTAAATTTGTTATTATGTTTGTTACGTAGTCTATCATGAAACTTGTCAAACGAAATAAAATGGTGTTTTAAAATTTCGTTCCATATATATACTGGAAGATTGCTAGCCACATATCTTGAAATATCGTAAAGTTTTCCATGTAATAAATTGATTAATCTATATAAATCTCTGATTTCAATATTTAAAATTTGTTTTTTGAATCTAAATATCAATTAATACAAAACTTCGCTCGTATGAGAATTTATAAAGAGACATATATATCTGACTTAAGATGCTAAAATTAGTAATGAATTATTTCTTTTGCCTAAACAACGAACATGGAGCAAACAATTAGCAAGATGTAGTTCCTTCCTAAATAAGTAAATTTGTTTCTTGTATTTTTTTAAATTTAATTTTTTAAAACATATTTTTCTAAATTTATTTGTCGTGATTTTTGATTTCACTACATTAGTGTGAATATTTAATAATTTTTATTAATAAAGATAAATTATAATTTATAAATTTAATTTTTAAATAATTTTGTAAAGAATTATTTTGGTTACATGTAATTTTTGCAAAAATTAAATATTTTGATGGTTATAAACTTTAAAAACAACGATTTTGATTTACTTAGCGTGATTTTTTATTTCACTACTTTTTAATGCGAACATTTTAAGCTTTTTTGTATTATTAATAAAGATATAAAATATAATTTATAAATATAATTTTGAAAGAAAAACCATTTTTAATCATTTTTGTTAATGTTTTTACAAAACATATTACGCTTAACGCTTTTTTTAACATCTGTGATGTCTTTTTTTACAGATTTCACATATTTTTTTCAAAGTTTATTAAAATATATATTAATTTTGCAAAGAATTATTTTGGATATAAAATAAGATGGGAGGAAGGGTAGTGTGGTGGGGGAGGAGGAAGGAAGGGTGGGGTGGGCGAGGGAGGAAAAAGGAGGAGAGAGGGGGGGGAGGAAGAGAAAGGGGGAGAGAAAGAGGGAGTAGGAAGAGAGAGAAGAGAAGAGAGAGGGGGGGGAGGAGAGAGAGAGAGAGAGAGAGAGAGAGAGGGAGGATGAAGAGGGAGAGGGGGGAGAGAGAGGAGGAAAGAGAGAGAGAGGGAGAGAGAGGGGGGGAGAGAGGAGAGAGGCGTAATTTTATTATGGACGCTCTGGGACTTCTCCCCTCAAGCGCCCGAACAAAAAGAATATACAGAAAATTAACAAATTACAAGGTAATAGCAGGGCGCATAGAATTTAACATATGTAAATGCGCATGTACATAAAGTGTGTTTAAAGCATGCATAAAGTATAATAGCGTGTGAATATGCAATTGTATAATTACAACAATGTTACACCTAATCGCAGAGTGTGAGACTACAGCGTGCCAGAGAGTCAGCCAACGGCATTAGCACAATTCAACCTAACAAACTCGACCAAGCAAATACGCATAGTCTCCCCCTAAAGATCTCGATACTAGGAGAGTCCCGTATACTGACAGAAAAGCTATTCCACAGTTTGGCAGACACAAAGCCAAACGATCTCTTATAGAGTTCTGTACGACAACGAGGCAGCAAGAGTGCACTGTCAGTGGTCCTAGTAACACGAGAAGTTATTTGCGATCTAAAGGCAAACCTCTCGCAGAGTCGACCTGGCGTCTGGGTCCGTAATATGTTATAGGTGAGACATGCCACGAAGTAGGATCTTCTGGCATCTATTTTTAGCCAGCCCAATCTTGCATAGTAGGACGTGATGTGGGCATCATATCTAAGATTATATATGTATCTTATGCACGCATTCAATGCTCGCTGCAGTCTTACGCTGTGCTCGTCCGTCATGTCAGTGAATACCGCACAGCAGTAGTCAATGAAGGGGAGAATTAAGGTCATGACAAGTTTTTTCCTAAGAGCTGTTGGAGTTAGTCTTCTGCAGGTCTTAAGCCGATAGAGGGTCGATCGGATCTTATTAGTCACTGAAGTGACATGCTTGCTCCATGATAAATTACTGGCTATAGTCACACCTAGGTATTTAATATGCATAAAGTATTCAATAGTTTTGTCACCAATTCGAATTTTAGGCAATGAAGCTAGATCAATGGTGTTTAAATATCTTGACGTCCCCAGTATAGCAGCTTGCGTCTTTGCTGCATTGAAAATGAGACCATTGGTCCCAGCCCAAGTGAGGACAGAGGTTATGTCCAGATTTACTCTGTCTATTACCCCAACAAGGTCCCTCGGTTCACAGTGTGCATAGATCTGTAAGTCATCCGCATAAAAATTATATTTACAATGTGTCAGTGCATCACGGAACTCCGTTAAGTACAGGGTGAACAGCAGTGGTCCCAGCACTGATCCCTGGGGGACCCCTACACGCATAGCCCGAAAGGAAGAAGTGACGCCCGCAATTCTATCTCTCACCGCCTGTGACCGTCCTGCAAGGTATGACTGCATCCAACTGAGCGAGGAACTAGAGAATCCCAATCCTCTAAGCTTCCTTACCAAAATATGGTGCTGAACTCCGTCGAACGCTTTTGAAAGATCAAAGAAGATTGATATCGTAATCTTCCTCTCATCTGCAGCACGCCGCACCTCGTCCATCACACCAATCAGATAAGTCTGCGTCGAATGACCTCTCCTATATGCCGATGCCTAAAATCCAGAAGACCCTCCCTCTCCAAATATTCACGGATCTGATCACACGCCACACGCTCGAGCATCTTTGACAGAGTAGGTAGGATCGCAATCGGCCGGTAATGGTTAGCTAGCACAGGATTTTTGATCTTAGGAACAGGACAGATCAGAGCCGATTTCCAGACTTCAGGATAGATCCCGCACGTAAGTGAGTAATTGCAGACATGCTCCAACACCGGCATGATGATAGGTAACGCCAGTCGAATCATACGGAGTGATATATCGTCAGGACTCCACGGCATTAGATCTCATCCTAGAGAGCGCCTTGCCAATAGCACAGGTGTGTGACATAACTCCAGTAAAAATTGCCCTCGTCGAACCCCGCATCAAGAAGACTGGAGGACTCCATTCCGTCAGCGTCCCGCCGACCCCTGCAGCACTATCCACAAAGAACTTATTCAGCTCTTCGACAGTGAGAACCACTTTTATTGACACCCTTCACCACGACAACAAGGCCCAAGTGTCGAAGTCTACTCCAAGTAGCGGCGGCGCTATCCTTGCGAGCGAATGCCTCAATATAATAATTCTGCTTAGCAGATCTCACCATTCGTGGGCCCTATTCCTAAGGCGTTTGAAAATCTCGTAGAGATGATTGCTCTTCTTCTTTCGCCATACTCATCCTAGCAACATCC